ATTTTATTCTAAAATATTTGAAAATTGGCAATAAAATATTTTCTTTAGATTAGTATTTCATTTTAAATTAATTTGTATCTATTTTAGGTTAATTATTTTCTTTGCTAAAACTGAAAAAGCCAGTAATCTTAAATGAAAAAATTAAAAAAGGGTTCCTAATACTTTAAAGTCATAAAAAATGTGAAAATGCTGCTTAATTAACATTTAAATAATTTTGAATAATTTATAAGCAAATTGCACTATTTTTCATTCCATATGTTGTTCTATAGGACATTTTATTTTCACTTGCAAACATTACCGAATAATCTATGCCGTGTGCATTTTTTGGGTGATTCGGTAGAATTATAACTAAAACATTTTTTTTTTTATATTTCTTATTGCTTGCACGGGTGGGTTGCATGCCAACTGACTTTTTACTATTGGGTAGACAATTTTACACACTCACGGAGGGCATTACGAATTGCTCTGGAATGTGGGCTATACTGCCTAAAGAAGTTCATAATTATGCCATAAAATCGTATATAAGTCTGTATATAATACGAATACTCTATGTAAATATATCTTATGGTAAATAAAAGAACAATAATTGAGGCTTAAGTAAACATTTAAATATAATTAAATTTTGCTCAATGAGACAATCTAATATATGTATATTTAGTTAACTCTGAGAACTTGCTTTTCGTAGGGTATTCACTTATTCAAAGCCTATAGATAATTCCGTTTCTTGTTTTGAGCACAATGGTTTTTCGTTTCTGCCATTTAAATATTTGCATATTTTGCGCACAAATCTGGCAATCGCATGCAGACCGCATATAACATTTTTGCCATATTGAAGAGTTTTTTGTTTATTTTTTCCTTTTATTTATTTTGTTTCTGCATTTGTCGCGTTTCAAATGTATTTTTACGTAAAATTTTCATTCGTTGCCTTAACGAGTCTTTAATATTCAATTAAATGTTTTCTTTTTACGATCGCAATCAGTGATAAAATTGTTTGGCATGTAATAAAAGCGAAATTTAGTGAAGTGAGATGGAAGAGAGAAAAACAATATTTTTATATAATGGTCTTGAGGCAGTGTTAATGTTGATTTGTTGAACAGTAACGCAAAAGAATGTTATATTTTTTTAGAAGTTAGAATTCACACAAAATTTAGTTTGACCTATTTAGTAAAGAAATGCCTAAATTGAAAAACAAATTAAATATACACAACTAATGTAACCATTACGCAGTCTTTTTTTACTTCTCATATCTGGGCACGATTAATCCTTGACTTTGAGTCATTTATAGTACCGCTTTAAACTATTTAAATTAGAGATTAGCGATGGACAGCTGTTTAGCTTCATGACTAGCGATTGGCGTGCGAATCAAAGCCATTAGTTTTATTGATTTTTGTGCCAGTCATTAAAACCCACACGAATTGCCAGTGAGTTTTTGCGCAAGGCACGAAATGCCAGTCAAAACTTTAACAACAACAACACATATGCACGAGTATATGAATGCCTGAAAAAACATATAGTAAAATCAGGTGCTTAGAACTACTCACACACATACACACATACACAACTTTTTCCATTAACATGACGTTATTTTTTGCTCAGCTAATGGAAATTATAAGCAATTGACTTTTGCTACAGAAAAAAAATGGAAGAAAATTTAATTACTTTTTTAATTAAATTGGAGCCTTTAAAGAGCAGAGCAGAGAATATCGTCGTTAGCATGCCACATGTTCAGTGTCTGCATCTACTGGCGCACATTACGTAAAGTGAATCTGACGTGCCGCATCCGTCAGCATCCTGTCGCGTCCTGCTTCGTGCTGGCTTGCGTCCTGGCTAACGTCTAGCGTATTTCAATTTCAATTTTCTGCCTCTGAACTAATGCAATTATAATAATTTCCGCACGTAAGTGAATGGATTATAGAGCAGGTGTCCTCGCCCGCCCTCAACGTGGGCTCCTTTTGCCAGTTTGGCTGGCAACCAACCGGCTGCCTGCTGTCAGCGTTGATAGCAATTCTATGAGATATTTTCCAGTGCTGCAAAATGCTGCAATGTGGCAACCAAACGGTTTCTGGAAATAATTTGAGGTCTTTGAATGCGCTTGAAAGGATTCAAACGTAAGGCTTAAAGCTAAAAGCTAAAGTCAAGCAAACAATGATAAGTAGCTAAGTGAGAATTTGATACCGCTTGCCAGTGTTGTAAAGTAAGAAATGAAAAGAAATGTTATAAATACATTTTTGCTAAAAGATGAAACTTGTTTTGTTAATACTGCGTAGCTATTGCCAATTGTAGCTTTCGCATCCTAATTTCACGCTGTCAATATGCCAAATTTGGATTCGTTTTAGAAAAAGTTTGTTTATGGCATTCTAAATATTTGATAGTTTGGGACATATTACAAATCCATTAGGTTGCCTCCCCCCACTCCCCTCTGTCATTGCAACAATTGCAACATGTTTTATTTGATGGCAGTTGCCAAGTAAAAAATCTGCGAATATTACGTATACGCAAATAAGGTCATATATGCGAGCTACTCGCGCACAATGCCAAGCTTCCCCAAGCCCCCCATTTCCCATTTAGCTCCATCGCTCCGTTTGCCACTTAAATATTTTACGCTTTTGTATTGTTAAGCAAAAGTTCTTCTTTGCGCATGAAAAATGCAAACGCAGCAGGAAAAAGGTTATATAATTTTTCAAAGTGTATAATACGTGTGTGTGTGTGTGTGTGTGTGTGTTAGAAAAATACATAGGGTTACAATAGCTCGGCATGAACAGACACTTCAGAACGAAAAACGTTGAACATTTAACATTTCATTCGAGTTCTTTCCGTGTAAATGCCAGCGTAGAAAAATGGCTGCGGTTTTTTGTTTACCTAATACTTACAGCTTTTGTATGCTTAACTATATGTATTTAAAGGATTAGCTTAAAATATTTGTGGCAAATTTAATTTATCTTGCTTTTCATTTCAATTCATACTTGTATATTTTATTTATATTATATATTATTATATACAACATTTATTATTTAAATTTATTTATTTATTAAATTAAAAATAGAATGCTTATGATATGCGGCTTAACACTCGATTAGAACTTGATATAATTAAAAAATAACAATGTTATTTTTTATAGTAAATCCTTCAACTACGCGAAACCTTTACAAAGTATCAGATTATATACGTATGCTTAGCGTAAACTACTATTATGCTGCATCATTAACAAAAGAGTGCCCATTGTTTAAATTTCTTGTTCAGTTGTTGTAATTTGTCATTGCACTTTTGGCTATAATTTCATACGACTTTTGTTATTGTGGCGCACAATGCAGCATTGCGATTATTTGCAGCAGTTGTGCTTGGCCAGCGGCATCCACGAACTAGAGGTTTGTGCTTATATTCCATACCAACTAAATATATATATATATAGATATATATGTATATATATAAATTATATAGCTTAGTTCGTTGCCTGGCAATGGCAATTTGATACAAAGCAACAAAATAGAAATAGAAATAGATATAAAAGACGAAATAAGCGCACACAATAGACAATTATTTTGCTCAAGCATGGGTGTATATGTATGTATTATATATAGTTGTGTGCTCATTGTAGCTGTGCGGGAATATGTGCAACTGCACGGCTATTTGATGCTGCATTGTCTCAGTGGCATTCAACCGGAGTTCTCAATTGCCGCTATTGAAGGATTTACGTGTGGCTCAACGAGTTCAGCTCGGTTGAAGTGAGGCCAAAAGTCGCCGGATTAGGCAACACACAATGGAACACATAAGTATATGAGAGAGTACCCTGATAAGTTCGGCTAAGTGTATTGAAGTTGGGTAAAGTTGAAGTTGACTAAACGAAGATTGGGTTAACTTCAAATTGAACATCTGAACTTTGTGCATGTAAAATTTTACTTAGGTTATATATTGGGGTCGGCTATAATAGTTAGACTAATGTAATATTGGCTAAGGTTAGATAAGTCGAATTCTTTTTTTTTTTCAAAAACTAATCACGTCACAGCTGAGAATCGTTTCACTATTTATAATTTTAGAGAAGCTGCAATTTCTACCTTTCACCTGATAAATTTATTAATTTTTATTTTGTGGAATAAATTTCAATTAAATGAACGCTGAATAAACGCTTCCGATTGCGCATTTCCCGTACAGGAAAGCTTGAAAATTAATTTGAAGATATATATAAGATAAATAAGATGAAAAGTTTGTAGGTATTTAAAAAAAAAAAAAAAACAACGAAAATAAATTCCGAGAATTATTCAAAGGCTATTAAACAAGAGGTGTTGAGGTTAAATATTGCTGCCTGAAGAGCTTTAAGCATTCACTTCAAACAGTCATCTCAAATATACTCATATTATAAAAAGAAAACAGAAGAGACTTTTGAATGCATTAATATTAATATTCTTGAGATAACTTATATTTGTTAATGCACATAATAACGAAATTACATAAATTTTTTTTGAAGGTCATGACATTTGCTTTAAGTTTAGTGCAAGTTTGCGCTCGTCACAGCTGGGATTACAATTTGGCCATTAATCAAATAAGCTAATAGTATTATGGCCAAGCACATGCGATTTGTGCCCTAGCGAGCTACATGAATCGTTTGTCAAAGCCAAAAAAAGACCGAAAAAAAAACTTTGCTTCATATATATTTTATTTATGATTTGCTTTAAGCAAAAACTTTTTTCTTGCAAATAATGGTAAAAATGGCCCAAATACAAAGATGGTTTAACACAAGTCGAAGATGCTGACATATAAAATCCCAAAGACTGAGAAAAAGCAAGAGAGTGAGAGAGAGAAAGTTGGCTAGAATGACGCCATTTGCAAATTTGTTTGTCTCGCTCTCATTTTGCAGGCTTACGTCAATGGCTGTTATATAAGCCTACTAATTGGCCGCCATGTGAGACGTATACGGAATATAAGCAAAATTTTCGTAGTTAGATTTCGACGAAATATCGGTACGGTTTTCAGAAATTTAATTTCGTTTTCATTACTATAAATATAATTTATCAAACATACGGAATTTTTTTTGGCTCTGGCCTAGTCTATAGGTCATCATCATCGTCATCAGGAGGCAAATCGGTGGCCTGCTCCAGTTCGCGCTGCATTTTGAGCTGACAGCTCTTCGACATGTGAACCTCTGGTGGCTGTAGTGCAGGCATATTGATGAACCTCAGATGCGGATCACCAACCAATACGCGTGCCAACCAGCGGAAGGGTTTCTCAAAATTACGATTCGATTTGGCTGATATTGGAAAATACTGTAAATGGAATATAGAAACATAATACAGTTAGGTTTTAGGTTGGATTAGATTAGATTTTTCTAGGCTTAGATAAAATATAAAGCTTATTGATATATTAGATACTGAAACAATAATGTACAAATACGTGGTGTAATATATCTGCTTTCACAACTCGCCTCACCTGCATATTTTTTTTGCTATAAAAATCGGATGTTCTTGGCTTAACTTTGCAGTTTTTAATGTCGATTTTATTGCCACAGAGGGCAATCGGTATATGGCCACAGGTGCGAATCAAGTCCCGATACCAGCCGGGCACATTCTTATAGGTGGTGCGTGAGGTCACATCAAAGAAGATAAGGGCGCATTGGGCCTGAATATAGTAGCCTTCCCGCAGTCCACCGAATTTCTCCTGTCCGGCCGTATCCCAAACGTTAAAGCACAATGGGCCACGACTCGTATGAAATTTCAGTGGATGAACTTCTACGCCCATTGTGGCGAGGTAACGCTTTTCAAACTCTCCGGTTATGTGACGCTTGACGAACGTTGACTTTCCAGTGCCTCCATCACCCACTAAGACCAACTTGAATGTTGAAATCGTGTCACCTTGAGCCATTTCTCGCCAAGAGTGGAGCAAGCTTGTAAATGTATAAAATAAAACCAAGGGAAATTTATGAAAATACAAAATTTGTAAAAAATAAAATTTGAAAAAATGCTGCTATATAATCCTATTGCCAGGTATGGCTAATGTTAAATGATCTGAGAGTTCAGTCAACTGAATTGGGGAGTAAACCAGATTTTCCTTAGAAAAACTTTTCAAAATTTTAGAGGGGTTTTTGTTTATGTATTGCCATTATAGGATTCAACTCAGTAGAGTTTTATTACCATAAAGACAGTTATACCGAACAGAATTAAGAAGAGCATGTTGTGTTTTTTAAACTAAAATATTTATTTATTTATTTTTTTTTTTTTGTATTTTTTAGACAATCAGAAAGTTGTTTACGTTGGTTGGTATAAAATGAAAATGAAATCTAAATTTATGAATGGCATACTTTGATCAAATTTGGCAGAGATCAGTTATTCAGGGATACTTGAAATGCAAAATCTGAAAATTACAAACGTTGTTTATCGTTTGTGTTATCGATAATAAGGAAATGAAAAATTCATATTTTTGACAGGGTTTTGTAGATAACGAGATCTCTGCACTTAGACTGACGGACAAACAGTCCGATTGAAGTACTGACAGACAAATTGGCATAGCTATATACTTTTAACTCGATGACCTGATCAAGAATATATTTTTGATATAATCGTTTTGATATGATCGTTATGTCTATTTTATATAGCTCCACCAGATTATTATACAACGCATTTTCATTCTCAATTAATTTCGGATACGATAGGTGGAAATATACATATAGGGATTACCATATATTGGGTTACGCGAATAATTCCCAAGTGTGGCTATTATTTAACAATTTTCTTGAAGCAACACAAACGCGAGACAGTCTAAACATAGAACGTGCTATCGATCGTATAGTTGTCATCAAAGTGGTTATCCACATGGATGCACCAATCTCAGCAGACAAAGACTCACTCATTCACTCACAAACAATCCGAGTCACTCACACAAATGCAGCAAATGCACTCGAGCGGCAAATGAATGGAAATGAAACGCGTTTGCAGCACTCGACACCAAATGGTTTTCAAGGCCACAGCATAAAAGCATCGAATTTCATGATAATTGTTAAGATTCCAATCACATGCAACTGCTCGAATAATGTATCAACAGCTCGTAGTCATAGATATATGCACATACAAACTTCACATATATATGAATATGTATACACTGAGCTTGAGGTAGTTGATGGAAGTGACTATGACAGCCTTTCAACTTGGAAGCTTAGATGGAGAGCGGGAACTTCTGAGATTGAGTGATAGTAAATGAGAGGGGAGAGGACAACAAAATGCAATTAAGTGCATCTGGTTGTTGTTTATTGTTTCTGTTGTTGTTGCAGCGTAATTCAAGTTACATTTTGCGTTAAAATATGCACAAAGAATGTTTTATGGCTTGCGCCTGTTGTCTATGCAGAAGTTTTCCGAAGCTGTCTGGAATTTTCCACCGGAAGGAAGTGTTGCATAGTCTTTGTGTGTGTCAGTGTGGAAAAGTTATGCCGTCGTCTTCTGCTTAGGCATGATGTCGAAAACTATTGAGCTGAAACTTTTGCCACATGCAAACTTAATAACTTAAGTGGTTTTAAATTTCCAAATTATTTGTTTTGCCATCTCAGGGAAATAAATAAAACATAATATGAGTTTGACGACATGCTAACTAAATAAAAGTGGAAAATTAATTTAGGAAAAAGTAGAAATTTCATTTCATGCCTAATTGAATATAAGTTTATGTGCGCTCAGTAGACAGGGTCGAGGCGTATAGCAGTCAAATTCAATGTTATATATAAGTATTAGATTTTGCATGAGTTAAATTATTATTTTTATAAATCTGTTTCTCTTGAAGATGAATCGTACTTTGTTGTTTCTGAAAATATCTCACGAATAATTTGCATATTTTTTGTGAGCAAACCATTGAACCGTCACAGTGAAATGAGGCAAACCGTTGAGTGACAAATTCTGAACAGTAAAGTAAAATTATTTACGTGTATTTGAATTTTGCAAAAAGAAGAACCCAACTGAATGCACTTTGCATACGAAGAGCCTGACGTGGCTGGGTGTTAAAACAAAGCGTGCTGGGATCGCTGCGCAAAAGGAAAAAGTAGATGAAGAAAAAACGAACCCATTGCCGCTTGGTGTTGGTGAATGAACTCGGAAAGTGCAGAGGATATTATGCATACACCATACGGCGCTAGTCGCTCTCAGCTGTAGACGTTGCTTTGCCATTGGGTCTTTGCAATAAATCAGCCGTCAGCGGCAATGTCAACGCAAAGCCATCAAATCACAGTCGAGCAAAGCCGTAAGCCAAAAAGGATACAAATTGAATAGAGCAGGACGTTGGCTGACAGCTTGAGTGAAGTCGAGAGACCGGCCGGAGTTAGGGGCGTTGAGCTCATGTGCAATAAAAGCGTCTTAAAAGTTTAATGTCCCTCGATTTGCGGTCACACACAAATGAGTTTCGACTGGCTGACATGTGGAATGTGTGTCCTGTTTGTGTCCATTGACATTTTTCCTACTGCAAAAACTTGCGCAATTTACCTGTCGACAACTTTTACTTAACTCGTCGTCAATGATCAACTGGCTGCTTATATGTATTTATATTTGTTAAACATTTTTATGTATACAGAGTAGAGGCAAAATCAAAAACTCTTTAATATTATATATTACCATGGTCAACTCTTTGTTTGTTTTGCCGAACTTTCTGTTAATTTAATTTAATTTAACCCCATGAAAATTTCACATAATAAAAGCTACTTGCTTTATTAAATACCACAACAATAGCAATTTGATTGCATCTAATTTGACATTCTCTCAAATTATACCGTGGCTGCTGTTCGCTTCTTTCATGTTGCAATGTAATCCATATTTATGGACCCAGACAATATGGGCTTATTAGAGCCATAATAAGTGACGTCAGCGAATATTATATGCTCTTTCTGGCCAATAATGAGGAAAGATGCATTGAGTACACTAGTTAGAAAGGCATAACCTTACACGAATATGTAGATAGACTTAGACAGCTTTTCATAATTTACAATGAATACATTCCATAAAGAAGACTTTTCTGATCAATTTAATGAAATTTTACAATATTTATTGCATGAACAGCATTATTCTAACCATATAGATACATATTTTATTGTAATTTTAAATTAAATATATAATTATTAGCTAATTTAACAAGAAAAACGCGGACTACTAAGGCCATCGGCTTGCTTATCATGCTTTTGAATTTTATATTTACATATACTTACACATATATTTTTACATTTTTATTAAGATTTTTACGATTAATTTTTTTTTTTTTAATTAAATATACATTTTTAATCAAAAATATTATCAATTTAATTATTCTTTCTTCAGAAATTTTTAAAAATATTATTTTAGATAGTGTCATAATTATTTCATTAAATATTGTATTAATATGATTAGTAAAATATGTTTTTCTTAATATTTATATATATTTTATATTTTATTTATATTTGTTATATTACTTATGTACTTACTTCTGTTTACATCAGTAAAATATGTTTTTCTTATTATTTATAAAAAATGTTATATTTTATTTATATTTGTTATGTTACTTATGTATTTATTCTTAATTATTTTATTTTATTTCTTTTAAGATTTTAGTTAGTTTAATGTGTTAAAGTAGTAATCTAATTTTATTACTTTTATTCAAAAAGAATAATTTCACAATATGAATTGTGAAAATGAAGAGTTTCATATCAGACTACATTGCTATGATACCCGAATGCAGTGTGCTAATGCAAATGGGAGGCATTATTTAATTAAACGAAGTTGGCCCCACTGACCGACCGACCGACCCGACAATTCGCCCTGCTGCTAATGTGCATTGGTGCTGTTGCGCGTCCGCTGGCAGCCTCATTAAGGGACGACTCACAGACAACAACTGGGAAATATATTAGCGCTGCTTTGGACGTGCAAGGAGGGCAGCCCAGTTACAAGTCAATCTGCTTGTGAACGAGGGTATGAGGGGCGTGGCTCGTTGCTGTCAGCTTAAAACCGAGCACTTAAATTTAGGCAAACGAATTGCACTGAAGATGGGAAAAATGAACAGAGGAGCCTAGAATTCCGACAAGGCTGGGGTCATGTTGAGTGAATTAATTGCTGGTGCAGGCAACAAACAGACATAGACACACACAACCACACAGAGAAAAACACATATGCAAATACACAGACACACACGTAGTCTGATTGTATTGCGCGGTTAGTTGAGCAATCGAGCAAACTAAACCGCAGCAGCGGCCCAGAGGCACGCATACTGCATGCCACATGCCAGACAGCATGGCAGCCCCATGTGGAGAATGTCAAGAGGGGTCGGGCGTGAAGGGTCTGAGGCGTTTGCCAGATGTTTGTGTTTGGTATGGTTTGGTTTTTGGTCTGTGCCAGTGGAAACCATAAAAGCACCTATCCTCTGTCACCTGCCATTTCGTCGTCTGCACCAGACAAAATGGTGTCAAATGACAAAATGCAACGTGAAATAAAAAAGAAAAATGGACAAAAAATTGAAAATGAAAATGGAAAAGGGGAAAACCCTGCACACGTGGGCTGCATGATCAGTTGTGTAGTGCGAATATTTATTTGAATTCGAATATAATTTTTATGAGAAACTCGACAAAAAAAGCGAAATATTCGAAGGATTTAATTGTGATTAAATAGTATTTGATTGATTACGATTTGATTGGGAGATTTTCGCAATTATTGGAAGCAAAAATACAAGCAAATAGGGGAATAATATAAATTTATCGTATTTTATGGGCAATAATTTTCATTTGGTTATTGGAAAAAATACAGGCAAAAATTAATAAAAAAAAAAATACTTTTAAAATATTACAAAATATATTGACTGACACTTCTTTATTTTAATATTTCAAATAAATTTCTAGAAGATAAACAAAAATACCGACAAATTAATGCAATATTGCCCAACAACTTACAACATTTATTAAATATATAGAAAACAAATATTAAAATACTTTAGGCTTGCTATGAATTTGAAAG